GTTGGGTTCGGTGGGATTCTCTTCCGGAAGCAAGTGGTGGTGGGCGAGGGCCGCCCCGGCCTCAGTTGGCGCCCCAGCTGTAGCTGTTGTAGGCAGACTTGTTGGCCTGGGATTTCTGGGGGATGGAGCTGCCTTGGCTGCGCTGCCCAGAGCCGCTCTGCGGGAAGGGGGTAAGAAGGAGAAAGCAGGCGGTTATCGTGGGGGAACCGGCGCCGCCGTCTCCGGGGTCCCAACCCCCGGGCTGCTCTGCAGGGCGACGCTGGCGTGCCTCGGGCAGCTCGGCCGCGGGCACCGCCGCCCCCGCAGGACGGCTCCAGCCTGCAGACCCCGGGCACCGCAGGCTACGGCTCCTCGGCGCTCGCTGACCCGCCTCAGCCCAGCGCAAGCTCCCTGGGGCCACCGGCACCAGGGCAGGGGCTGCCTCCTGCACCCAGCAGCTGGCCGGTGGCCCTCACGCCATGCCATCTGCTGCCCTCCCTCCGCTCTGCGCCTTCCTCCAGAGCAGTGCCGTGCCAGGACCGCAGGCAGCGAGGGCCCTGGCAGGTCTGCGGGGGCTGCTGCCCGGCGGGGAGAGGGGAAAGGGGGGGGGGAAGGGGTCGAGCAGGGGGGGGGGTGTCTGTGCGCGCGGGTGTGTGGGTGTGCACATACTGACTGAGGGCCTCTCTCCTCGCCTGGCGGGGCCACAGGGGGAGAAGGAAGGGGTTACGTGAGCCTGGGGGGCCTTAGGGGCGGGGGGAGACCCCAGGGCAAGTGCAATGCATTATCAGAGAGGTTCATTACCTGGTCTTCCTGCTGGCGTTGGCAGCACAGTATCATCTGCAAATATGGAAGCTGTTGCAGTACCAGGATATGTAAAATAAAGGGACAAACTATGACAATAGAAATCCACGGTTAGACCTGAAAGCTACGGCGGGGTCGTGGCTGTGGCGAGTAACCCCTTCGCTGCTGGCCTGCGGAGCCGCCACTCCGAGGAAGGGGGAGGTCAGGGCGTACCAGGCATGTCTGCGTGAAGGGGCACTACCCGACCGTACCTGGTACAGCCCGGCAGCAAGGGGGCTGTGCCGAGTACCCCCCAGCGGAGCGCACCCCGGGCCTTCCTCACCTCGTCCTCTTATCGGCCCTGTGTGTATGTGCAGGTGTGAGCATGTGCGTGTCACCGCGTGTCCGCGTGTGTCCGCCGCAGGGCGTGAGGGAGGGAGGGAGAGGGGGGCCGGGGGGGTGAGCGAGAGCCCTAGGAGATACCCCAGCGAGGGCCGGGGGGGGTCGCTTACCTGCCCGTCCTGCTGCAGGTGGTGGTGGAGGATCTGCGAGTGGGGCTGCTGATGCGGGGTCAGGATGTGCATGAAAGGGGTGGGGGGATACGCCGCCGCCGTCGCGGGGTTGATGGGGCCGCCGCTGCCCAGCGCCGAAGGCAGGTTGAAGGAGGCTGCCGGGGTTCCAGTGTGAAATCCCTGCTTCTCGAAGGATTGCTGAGGAAGAGACACCAACGGTGGAGTAAGGGCTAGGAGCTGGGCTGGCAGCGTGTCCCATCCCAGCTCTACAAGTCCCGGGCCTGGGAGTCAGTGCGCGGTGCAGAAAACAGACGGAGTCTCTGCCTGTGGCTTGCTCTGGGCTTGGAATTACTCTAAGTTGGGAAAAGCCGAGCATTTCCCTTCTCCCGAGCTGGCTGCTCCAAGGGGAGCAGACTCATGGCCCGGGGAGGTTCTCTCAGAGCCAGGCTTCCACTCCCCAGCAAAGTGGCACCTTCCTGGAGCACGCACCAGACACTAACCTGTGTTTTGGAGTAGACAGAGCCCGAGATGTCCGGCACTCCTGTATTACTGGATGTCACAGATACACCTGGGGAGAAG